AGCACTTGAATTTTCCATAGTATTTAGTAATTGTACGGGACAGCCGTACGAATATTTGTATTTCGGTAATTCTGGTTCTGTTCCTCTCATGGGTTGTATCACTGTGAAATGTTTGTTTGGTATGTTCGTTATACCGTTAAGATTCCCGTACCCTATGTAATTACCCTTATCTACATATACCTCGAAGTAGGGTAACGGATTCGGAACGAAAACCTCCTCGTTATTTTTGGTCATCCATTCTCCAGCTATAATGTTGTCTATTTTGAATCCCTGTTTTACTATTCTGTATGAAGTAGCGTTACGTATAGTCGCTTCCCATTTCGGTGGCGTTACCTAAGTTGTAAGGAAATACGGTACAATGTAATCTGCCGACTCTGGTTGAGCCCACGCATAGTTATTTATCGAACTTATGCTTTCGTATTCCTTCGAGGTAGTCGTATTTAGTGAATGTCGCCTTTACATTGTTCATGTCCGTAGTTTTTATCATGTTTTTAAATGTTCTATTGAAGCAGTGTTGTTGCACAAAGTTGCTGCTCGGTCCCGGTAGGATTTGTCCTATGACTGTTGCCGTCCATCCGTTACCGTCTCCGCCGTCCGAATTCTGTTGACTGCTCTCACCAGCATCCATGTCTTGTAGAAGACAAGTACCACCAACACTATCAGTACTATCGAGTTTGTCGTCATCGATATCGCCTCTGAAGTAGTCGTCCAGTCCAAATGCCCTCTTAGCTCTAATTGCCGCTTTCGCAAGCCCGCCAACGAATCCGGTGCCCTCTGTATCCTTGAGGAATTGTTCATCTGCTTCCTCTGTCGATATGTTCGGATTTGCGTAATCTAAATCGTGTTCTTTAGCCGCTTGATCTAATATATACGCCAGGTGAATATTTTAACCTTTTAAGGTCTGTTCCTGGACCTAGGAAAGTGTAGCCTGGGACGGTGAACTCGACGAGCTTACGCTTCGTACCTCTTTTTTCGCCTCCTTTTGGTGGTGCCATTTACTTCCGGTTCCGTTACTATAAATAAACTACTTTCATAATAATTCAATTACCTCCCCTTGATTACTTCGAATTTAGTTTCTGTTCGATGGCATGTCTCACAATTAGAATAGGTACTATTTCCCAACTGTCAAAGGCACGGTGCAATGAAACGTAAAACCTACATAAGAAACACATTTCATTTTATTATTCTTATGTAGGTTTTACGAGACAGATAGTGAACTCCTTATTTAATAAATAATTGTTCTCGTTCTGTTGTCTATGTCTCGAAATATCTCGTTTTCTTCATTTTAGTACGAGTCGGTTATTGCTCGACCTGTTTCTACAGAGTCTAAGTCTGCATTACTCGATCGAAAGACGGACAAAGAAATGAGAACAATATATCACTTTAGATTAAGTAAAGGGTTCAGTTCCCGAAAGGTTACATGGGTCAACGACGCGCACGTCTATATATGGAGTATTTGTCTAAAAATATATACAAATTTTGTTCATAACAGCCATGGCTATTAGTTGAAATTCAGCCATCATATAATTCTGCTTATTCCTTAGTTAGTTAGCACGTACGTTATGACTTGCCAATACCTAATAAATAATAGACTATTCCGTTTTGATTGCGAGGGAAGACAAAAAAAAAAACATATCCGAGATGCTGGTTTTAGTGAGAAAATGTATTGTGGCCTTGTTAGGGCCAGAATTAAAGACACAAGAGAGGAATTAAGTTAAACAAATATATTAACAGAAAACAGTAATACAAACGAGAGTGTTACAGCAAGAATGTTCGGTCCGACTGTCAGAGCTGACTGTTGGAAACTTCCTTCTTCAAAAGGCAGTACCTGCTCCTATTTATAGCTGGGAGAGTCCAGGCGTGCGTAGGTAAATTACCATAAGAAAAAAAAAATAATGATAGATAGATAGATAGATAGAGAGAGAGAGAGAGAGAGAGAGAGAGAGAGAGAGAGAGAAAGAGAGGGTGGAGAGAGAGATGGAATAGATGAGGTGATAACACTCTCATGTGTTTAACGTCTGCTTCACTGAAATGGAAACAATATGTCACTTTTAAGTCTTTTGTACCCTCTTACTTCTTTAAAGAAACACGTGCATTCATAATAATGATTGTTATTCTGATAGTTTATCAATTTCGAATCTTTTCTTTTGTACCCACTTAGTTTTTTAAATAATGACTTGCATACATACTTATGAATGTTATGGCAATATACTTAACAGTGCAGCAGGAGAATTTCCATGGGTATTTTGTCGTCGTGGAACTCGCAAGGAACTTATTTAAACATTAAATATTATGATAACACTGTTTCTGATCTTCATCAACGATCTTCCTGATGTCATCAACTCGCAAGTTGACATCTTCGCTGACGACACCACTATTTACTCTTGCTTTAATAGTAGATCCGGTATCGTTGACAAAACTAACCTGGCCGTAGGCCTCGAGAAGGACTCCACTCTGTGGTTAACTGGGGCAAGAAATGGCTTGTAATCTTTAATGCCTCTAAAACGAAACTGCTCTCAATTACCTACCATAGAGAACCCTCCCTGCCTCCCATCAGAATGGCTGATTCCCTTCTCCTCGAGAGCGCCTCTCTGCGCCTGCTTCGTCAAACGCAGTCCCCTGACCTGAAGTGGAAAAACCACATTGAATATATATCGTCATCTATTGCATGAAAAGTTGTTTCTCTGTGTCGCGCCATAAGGTTTTTCACGTTTGAGTCCCTTCTACAAATCTACAAATCAATCATTCATCCTTACATGGAATACTGCTGCCATATATGGTCTGGTGCTCCCGCTATTCATCTCGAGGTCCTAGACAAAATCCAGAGACGGATATGCAACGTTGTTGGTCCTGATCTGGCATCTCGTCTGCAGACCCTATCTCACAGACTTGCTGTGGCTTCCCTCTGTTTTTTTTACAGGTACTTTCATGGCAACTTCTCCGACGAGCTACTTTCACTGTTTCCCAAACTGCATGAATTTAAACGCGCTACTAGGTTGACATTTCGATCCCACCCTTTCACTGTCGAAACAGTTAAATGTAACCGTCTCTTCTACTCCAACAGCTTCTTATCTCGCACCTCCCGTCAGCAGAACTCCCTTCCTATCACTTGCTTCCCTGATAGCTATAACTGTCAAATATTCAAATGTAATGTCAATCGACATCTTCTGATGCCTTGATCTTGATCCCTTTCTTTACTCTCACTCTCTGTAACTCCTTGCGTGCTAGTGGCACTCCCGCCTTGCTGGGGGCGATTTGATTAAAAAAAAAAAAAGATCAGAAAATTCAAAAGAAAAATCGTGAAATATTCACTTCTACTATAAGTAAAAAATTTAAATACTTTGTTTATATTTTATTTTTTTTGAGTAGTTCAATGTTCAGGAAACAATCACCCGACAATTTTATATATAAATTTTCGTTTTTATTGTGCATACATTTATCCAACGGAATAAAATTACCGCACAGATTCTCTTACCACTCTCCCTCCATGCGGTATGACCCATTAGCATCTGGAAGGTCATCTCCACAGTTTTCTATCCTTTGTTATTCTCAGTTATACGTTCTCTTTTATTACCCATCCTTCTCTTTTCTGATATTACTTCTCCGATCTGACCGAGGTAGTAGCACCTGTTAGGGTCCCAGCTATAGGCAAAGAGTGAACCCCCAAACAAAAATCAACAATATATTTTTTTACAGGAAAATGAAAATCAACGCAACACAAAAAAAATATAAAAATACATTTTAAAAGTAAAATTACCAACAATACATTTTTGCTGTAAAATTACCAGTAATACATTTTAAAAAAATGACCAACCATAGATTTTATGATCTACAAATATACCTTTACCCTGAAAGTATAAAATTATATACAAAATATTTAGAATTGAAAGCATAAAATGACATATAAAATATTTAGATTTCGGCATTAAATAACCCATAGAGGTGTTGATATGCTGCTAAACAAAAACAACCAAAATATTCTTCGATCCATTTACTCAAACTTGCCAAGCAGTTTAGCCACTACTTCGCTTGCAGTCGACGAGTCATTTGAGTGTTAAGTTCTCTAAGCATCCTTTTCTCATAATGTTCTTCAAGAATATCAGCTTTTCTTTTCTGATTGTTAGCAGTTGTTTCTCTGTAGTTCTTAGAATTTTTTTTTTCTGTTGACGTTTGTTCTGTTAATAGTATCCTCAACATTCGTCGGTAGAAATCTCATCAAAGTTGCTTCATCCGTAGCGAAATTATTCAGCTTTCATTGTCATACAGAAAAGTAAACATTAAACCACAGTTCAAAACTCTTCTCTTTCCCATTGTTACTTTTTGTATCCTTAACATCATCTTTCATGATTCTTAGATATCTTCGGATTTTTGTGTCGTCTATCATTACACCGCCCAGATCGCACAATTAAAAGAGATAATTGTATCATTTAGTGTTTCTTTATGTTTCCCATGTACCTAATTTTTGCTACCTCCATCTGAAAACTCTTGGAACCCTTGTCCCTTGATCCGTATATTAAACTCATTACTTTTCTGTGAAATTGGAAATTAACTAAAAAGACCCAGAAAAATTAAATCGACACGACATTAGGACAGTCTTCAAAAGTAATTACATTCTATGCTGATTCCCACGGAAGTAAAACTTCCACTGAAAAAAAAATGAGCAAAAACTGCATATACAACTTTCTTTGTAGTTGTAGCATACGGTACAGTAGAGAAGCTACGCATCCCAGAGAAATAAGATTTGAGAAGAGCGCAAAGCTTTGAAATCAGTAGGGGCTGATCATGTGTAGATGACGCAAACAAATCTACAAAGTGCAATGGATAAATTGTCGTCTAAATTACGGAAAAATGAAACTAACATTGACATTTTAACAGATATATTATACAAAAATATCTTGAAATACTAAAGAGTGAATTTATTCACTAAAATCACCATTGGCTTCATTAAGTTGGCGAATTCTGCCGTAATCCTTGCCTTCATTTCATCTTTGGTGTTAGCCATGTCTGTTTATTTATCTCAGTCTATTTCTATCTATCTATCTATCTATCTATCTATCTATCTATCTATCTATCTATCTATCTATCTTATGCTGTTTCTCTCTCTCTTTCTCCCTCTTACTTTATCAATCTGTTTCCCTTTCTCAATCTCTCCACGTCTCTCCCTGTCTCAGTCTGCTATTCTTAGCCCTCTGTTCATTATCTATCTATCTATCTATCTATCTATCTATCTATCTATCTATCTATCTAACCCCCCCCCTCTTTTCTCTCTCTCTCTCTCTCTCTTGGTTTGTTTCTCTTTCCTTCTTAGTCTATTGATCTCAACTTGTTACTATCTATCCTACTCATTCTCTCTGTCTATATATATGAAAGTGTTTCTCTCTCTCAATATCAGGCTCTCAGTCTTGTCTACTCCAGTCTGTCACCCTCTCTCTGTCTGTACTTCTATCTATCTATCCCAGTTTGTTGCCTCCCACTCTCATTCTATCTATTTTTATCAGTCTGTTCCCCTTTCCCAATCTCAACTCTACCTCTAATCTCTCTATCTCTGTCCCTGTCTCAATCTGTTACTCTCTATTCATTATCTATCTATCTATCTATCTATCTATCTATCTATCTATCTGGAAGACGATGGATTACTGGAATTTCCAAGGGCGAAGTGAACGAAACGGATTCGGTCGGAATTTGAACTTAGAACACTGGTTCCCTTCTCTGCGCCGATATCCGTTACGCTACACGCACATAAAAACGTTTACTATTGAAACTATGAGCCCCGAGGTGACCTGTTGTCACTTGATCTCTAGTGAGAGCTACCGATTATAAATATAACAATGCACTCTATTGATGAAATGCTTTTATTTTTAAACGATGGATTGGCGTATGCATCGACTGCAGGAGGTTTACTTGAGTGATAAACGCTTTTGTTTGATAAGAAAACCAATGCAGAAGAAGAAAATAACGCGAGTATGGCTTGGTGATCAAAGAAGACTAAACCAAGATAAAGACAATTTGCCTTCTCTTGGATATTGAGTGCTTCACAGAGGCAAACGTAGTCATGAAAATGGACGAAAAAAATTCATAGGCACAATGGGTTGGCCTTCTGAATGAAGAAAAGATTGGAACATAGAGAGAACTTTAGTTTTTTCGTTTTTTCTAAAGAGAGAGAGCCAAAAAGAAAAAAAATGGGGAGGTAAGCAGGAATTGTCTTCACGGGTACGCAAAAGAAAAGCTGTCATTGACATATCGGCTTATACGCACGTACCGCCATAAGTATGTCGTCTGGGTAATGACGAAGAAGAAAAGCATTTATTTTACTCAGATATTATTTATTTTTCAATATTATCTCTTTCCTTGTAAATGCACTTAATTGAATGGGTAATATTAATCACATCTTATACAATAAAACTCTATCACTCATATATATATATATATATATATATATATATATATATATATATATATATATATATATATATATTTCTGTTTATACAATAATCACCCACACACACACACACATACACATATATATACAATGAAATAAGTCCGACAATTGTTTTAATATATTTTCTGTTTGTACGTTACTTTTATAGATACAATTATTTAAAAAATCCTCTGTTTATAATAAACAGTATTAATTACACTGACCGGCTTGAATGTCCGTGAAGTTTCGCAGAAAAAATGTGTCTTTTGAAGTTTCTAACCAGACGCTTGCTCTGTAGCTCATTGGTATAGTACGTCAGATCAGGTGATGGTTCCGTGTAGAATATAGGTTCACTTCCTATCAGAAGACATATATTTTCTTCTGGGGTGATGCAATAAACGAAAATGAGTAGAAGCTATTTTTTTTAAATTTATTTTTTTTATATGTAT